TAGTGTCTATGTGTGTGTTTATGTTTTTCTGGGAGGGGGGGGTGTATTGGGGTTTAACAAACCCGGCGGGGCTCAGGACGAGAGTAATATTTTTAAGAGATTTATGACTTCCCTTCCCCTCTTCTTGTTCTGCTAAACAAATTATAGATTGTTAGTCACAAATACCGTGGCTGGGAAAACTTACATCCAGCCCTCAAGTTGGAGGTGAAAGTGTGCGACGTTTCGATTCTTGTGTCATCACGTTAATAGTGATCCAAGAAGGAGTGAAACGTCTTCCATGTTTCATCTTCAATTTACGGTTTAGTTTGTGAATTCGAAATGGAGGCTTGTGTATAATATATATATATATATATATATATATATATATATATATATATATATATATATATATATATATATATATATATATATATATATTTATATTATTTATTCATTTATTTATTTATATATTATAGTTTTGTTGTAGCAGTTAAAAAGGTTTGTGTAAGTCCCATAGATGATAACACCAGAGAAACCATGGAACGGTTGAGGTTTGAAACCAAAGCAAATGAGTCTTGATATTCACAGGCCAGTGAGTAAACCACTGAGCCTGTGAGTCTTAGGACTCAATTGCCATGGGTTCAAACTCCAACCGTACCCTGGATTGTCTGAAAGCGTGTAATTACGATTTGGTGAGACATAGCACCAGAGATTATGCTCCCGCCATCTTTGTATTCCTTGCTGCTTCTCACATTGACATATGCTTCACCTCCTTCTCCTCTTCCTTCTCCTCCTCCTCCTCCTGCTGCTCCTCCTCGGTAGTGGTAGCGGTCTCCTGGGTAAGGTATTTGGAAGTGGCTGGTTCAGCAGCGCTAAGACTAAGGAGAGCTCTAGAAGGGGGAGCGCCCCAGGGAAGCAGACCTCCTGAGCTCACCTCATCTCCCCCACGATCTCATCTCCGTGGATGCCTTCCCATCTCCACGGAGCTCACCTACCCCATCTCAGGTGCTCGATTTTTTTCCCCTATTAACTGGAAAAATAAGCATGTTTTCAGTTTTTTTTATGTTGATTTGCCTCTGCAGCATGCAGTAAGCTGATGAATAAGCTTTGGTTGTTGCTAGCATGACCTTCCTAATAATGTGGATCACTGTGTTGTTTAGATTCTAACTTGACCTTTCTAAAGCCTTTCCTGACCAGGATATACACAAGACTCCATCACTCTGACGATGCCTTAACACGCGTTCTTTCAAACATGAAAAATGAATTAATTCACCTTTTTGGGGCCTTTCTTAAAAACACCCCCCCCCCTCCCTCTCCCCCTCACTAGATTTCTAGGATGTTTATGAACTCTGCTGTTACTCTATTTGCTTAGGACTCGTAGAAATTAAGATAAAAATAAGATATGGTTGTAGTAGCCACCTAGAAAGTGTGTGGGGTCGAGTCCACTGGTGTGTCTGCCCACGTCTTTCTTAGCATGTAAGTAGTCGCCTGAAAAACACCTTTACCCCTCTCAGAAATTCTCACACAAGAACCCGAAAAACTACTGCCTGATATCCTCTCCAGATCACCCAAGATCCGACCCAGTCCTTCACTAACATCATATGTATTTCAGTTAGTCTAAATAGCTCTGTGCAGCTATGAATTTAAAAAGACATGTTAGCAAACACCAGGACATGTTTATCTGGAAACGTTTCGGTCTTGGGGCTTTGATCACTTGTAGCATACAGAGGTTGAAATGAGCGTTTTAAGTGATCAAGGTCTCAGGACCGAAACGTTCTCTAATAAATATGTCCTAGTGTTTCTCACGTGTCTTTTCTGACCAATTTGCCGGTATCTATTACCAAGGTTCATACCACAACTAAGCGTGTCTGTTCGGCGATTACCAGACGGAGGAACTAGCCTCCACCACTCCTCTAACTGAAGTTGCGTAATATAAAGTAGCTAAATTAATCTAAACTCTCTAAGCACTTGCACAACGATATTTTCTTGAAAACAACACTGACCAATTATCAAATGGATCACTTGCTCTCCACACCTCCCGAGTTTAACAATTATTATGATTATTATTCTCTACTTCAGCATTGTGAAATACAGAATAGTTGTTGGTGATATTAACTGCAAATATTAGATAATAATAATAATACTGAGTGGGTAGTCATAATGATAATAGTAATGATAATAATAATAATTATAATAATAATAATAATAATAATAATAATAATAATAATAATAATAATAATAATAATATTATTATTATTATTATTATTATTATTATTATTATTATTATTATTATTATTATTATTATTATTATTATTATTATTATTATTAGTAAAGACCCGTTACATTATTAATAATATTATCGAGAAATACCACCCACATTTAGGGTATATACACTGTCAAGTGTGTGTATATCTGTGTATACATACAATGTATTGACTTTAATCTCAGCTTTAGAGAATAAAGCATCCTTGACTGATGGTGAAGAAGGAACATGCATTCTTAATGACCTTCGTGTAGTCGATAGATTTGAAACCCAATTAACCAGCCGCTCCCATACAAGGCAAAAGAAAATATATAACTATTTTCTTTTAATTCCGAAGGTATAGACAAATTACTTTAGCTAAATTGACAGATAAATGGCATTATTTTCTATTTAATTATCTTTATTGTTGAATCTCAGTGGTGTGGTAGAGAGTTGAAGCAATAGGTATCAGCTTGGCTTGCTTGCAGTTTGTAACTTAATCCACGTTTCTTGCAATAACCGAGGAGTCTGCACCTACAGTTTTACCTAATCCATCCTCCACCTATCTCTCCCTCCTCTGTCTCTTTTCTTGTGTTGCATGTGCATATTGTATTGCAGGTGTTCCCTCCTTGTTGTTGCTCTGAAATGTGAAGAATCAGACACATGCCCAACATCTGGGTATCTTTATTGCACATGTGTCTAATTCTAATACCATACATGCTCTGGATGAGTCTGGTGTCCTCGTGTTAGGTTCACAGCGTATATATACTGAGAGCTCTGTATTTCTCACTGTATATGCACCCAGAGCTGTGTATATTGCAGTTTGTATACACCGAAGTGTGTGTGTGTGTGCTTTTTTTTTCTCGGTGTAAATCCCTTAGAGGTGTGTATCGTTTATTTTATACACATTGAGAGATGTGTATTTCTCGGTGTATAGGTGTATATACACTGAGAGGTCCGCATCTCTAAGTGCATATGCACAGGGAGGTGTGGATTTTTCAGTGTATTTACACTGAGATCTCACACACACACACACACACACACACACACACACACACACACACACACACACACACACACACACACACACACACACACACATACACACACACACACACACACACACACACACACACACACACACACACACACACACACACACACACACACACACACACACAAGGAGAGAGTGGACTTAGTAGGGACCAGCAAAGAGGCTAGGTGAGGAGCTGTGAATCGACCCCAGCAACCACAAACAGGTGAGTACAAGTAGGGGAGCACACACACAAATACACACACCAATAAACATCACTGAACATCAGTGTGATTCCAGTCCATCCATCTTCCTGGAAGTGTCCCAAACCACACCTGTAATTAACTCCTTATTTCTCCCCAGATGCGGGTAAGGGCACTGCCAACGGCGCCCCACCTGCTGGAAGATCCTCGTCTTCCCTCCTGAAGATGCGGGAGAGAAGGGCCAGGATTCATCACTCATACTACCACATCGTCACCAGTAGCCATCATCAACACTTCAGTAACCCATAACCCGTGTAATTACTTATATAAAGATGTATATTTCTTACTTAAAGACGTACTGGAATCAAGACAGACACGTGTAGCAGAAGGAGCCTCAATAGGGGGCAATGTTTCGCTCTAATGAGAGGGCGAAAAGTAGTGCCAATTAAGGCTTGTTATGCTACGTGTATACTTGTCATATATATTTTTATTTCGATTTCATTGCTGAGCATGGATCCAAACGTGGCACTGCCCGGAAAGTGAAGAAAAGAATCACTTTACAGCACAAGGTTTTGTTGAGTCTACGTTTCTCCCTGATAAATGATCCACACAGAACGAAACGTTGCCAAAATAGCAGCTTATTCGGCCACGTGAGTCTTTTCTGAACTCTAAGCTTGTTCCAAGCTGCTGGAGCGTCCGGTTAGCTTGCAGCTTTTGCAGAGGACGTTTCCCCCGGAGCGTCTATCCACGTCTAGCCTTGCTTCCCTACTCTGGTGACAATCTATTCCACAAATTGTATGGAGACTTATTAATATTATGCATATTTGCTTGCTGTCCAGCTCTGGGTGGTGCTAGGGATGCCTGAGTCAATCACAGGGGCCCTCAGACCAGAGATGGTGATGCTGGTCTTTTCCTGGTAACGGATGGTGAGTCTAGATATTCCTAAGCATAGATTGTGATTCTTGGAACCAGACTCACTACTCTATCATATAGATGTGGTGATGTCAGAGATTAGACACACCGCCCAGTTCATCTCCTGACTACAAATGGTGATGCTGAGGGAAGAAGACACCACTACACTGATCATTTCTCCTGAGGTGCACATAAACCAAATAACTGATGCAGCTAACTCGAAACTAGCTTAAGAATGGAGTCATTCATAGCGAAATATACGACATATGTCAGGCCCACACTGGGGAAAGAAATACCAGTATGGAACCTCATACCTGATCGAGCATGTGAAGTGACGATAAGTCCTTCCTGGACGGTTGGTACTGGAGATCAGTCGCACTTATCTTTTTCCTTTCATCTCGGACATCTGACCTCCTCGACATCATCATCTTCCACACCTTCATAGGACAATATAACCCAAAACTTGAGTCCCGTGAAGACTCAAGGGAGACGCCAGGAGGAGCGTGTCAACATGTACGGCGTGTTGCGCTTTATTGCAACGCGCCGAGACTCTTTCTTACCTCCGGCACCTACCTTGTGGTGTCTTCACTTCTACAGTGACCTCCTGCAGTAACCCGGTACTGCAGCATCAGCACTTGGTGGTTTTTCCGTCCTGTGCTGACCCACGCATCATCAACAGAACACAACAGTAACGTCTTACACCATCATCAGCGGTCAGTAACTCAATTCGTAAGACCCCACGCCACACTTAGCATTGCTCTTCCTAGAAGGGTTAACCTTTGAGAATATCTCAGTACGTCCTCGGGTCCTTACCAGGAAGCACAATCGTGTCATTACGATTTCTTAAGTCAAGCACAAGCAAATTACTACTGCCAAGAGTATCATCAAAGACGGGAGATAACATCCAGTAATGCCTCTGGAGAGAAACAGATCCTTCCCCAAAAAACCAAAGGCTTTAACTCTGCTAAGATCACCATCTCAACATGGTGATCACCGTCCGGAATGCCCCTGGAAAAGGCTGAGTCCCTGGAAGGGAGTATAAGAATGTTAGAGTTGTGAAGTTCCAAAACGAAAACCACCACTAACCTCCCAAGAGAATCTCCAGTCCTCGTACTTAACGACAGACAAGTTAAGAGCAACCAAGACTCGTATATGAGTTAATGCTCCCCAGGCTGCTACATAAAGGGCCAGTGGAAGCCATCAATAGACTGAGAAAGCTTGTCGCTGTTCTCTCTGTAAATACGACGCCAGAAATTGTTGAATCATAGAGAGCCAGCACAAGTCTCTATTTATTTTCTAGTATACTTAAAAAAAGAGTTTTGTAGTTTTATATTTCACTGAGAGTTTAAGTTAAGGTCAGTAACATTTGTTCAGTCAAAACTTCAAGAAAAACTGTACGTTTATTATGACTGAAACAGCGTTTTTAAGATTAGACTATAAGTAATATATATATATATATATATATGTATATATATATATATATATATATATATATATATATATATATATATATATATATATATATATATATATATATATATATATATATATATATATATATATATATATATATATATATATATATGATTCATTATTGACAGCTAGTGAGGTATGTAATAATTGCTGAAAAGTAAATATGGTTATGAGAATAAATATAGATTGTCATCGTGAATTTTGTAATGTATCACGTATATTAACTCCGTAGTGGTTCAAGCGTGTTGTGAAGCCTAGGCCTACCTCGGGGGGGCAGGCCAGGCCTACCCTAGACAGGGGGGGAGGCTAGGCTGCCGCTGCTGCTGTCTGCAGCTAGGTCTGCTCTGTATAATGTACATGAGTAGTGATGTGAACACACTGGGTTATATTAGTTTTTTGGCCTCCGAGTGTGACCTCCGAGCCTGGCCTCTGAGTGTGACCTCTGAGTGTGACCTCCGAGTGTGACCTCCGAGTGTGACCTCCGAGCCTGGCCTCTGAGTGTGACCTCCGAGTGTGACCTCCGAGTGTGACCTCCGAGCCTGGCCTCTGAGTGTGACCTCTGAGTGTGACCTCCGAGTGTGACCTCCGAGTGTGACCTCCGAGCCTGGCCTCTGAGTGTGACCTCTGAGTGTGACCTCCGAGTGTGACCTCCGAGCCTGGCCTCTGAGTGTGACCTCTGAGTGTGACCTCCGAGTGTGACCTCCGAGTGTGACCTCCGAGCCTGGCCTCTGAGTGTGATCTCTGAGTGTAACCTCCGAGTGTGACCTCCGAGAGTGACCTCCGAGTGTGACCTCCGAGCGTGGCCTCTGAGTGTGATCTCCGAGCGTGGCCTCCGAGTGTGACCTCTGAGTGTGACCTCCTAGTGTGACCTCCGAGTGTGACCTCCGAGTGTGACCTCCGAGTGTGACCTCCGAGTGTGACCTCCGAGTGTGACCGAGTGTGACCTTCGAGTGTGACCTCCGAGTGTGACCTCCGAGTGTGACCTCCGAGTGTGACCTCCGAACGTGGCTTCTCACTGCACTTGTAAACACAAAATGTATCGTTTTTATAACTATTAATAAAAATATTTAGGATTTTATATTTTTTTCCCCAATAAAAAAGTAAAAAAATAAAATAGAAGAAAAACAATAAAATTAACAGTAGTAGTAGTAGTAGTAGTTAGTAGTAGTAGCAGTAGTAGTAGTAGTAGTAGTAGTAGTAATAGTAGTAGTAGTGGTAATAGTAGTAGTAGTAGTAGTAGTAGTAGTAGTAGCAGTAGTAGTAGTAGTAGTAGTAGTAATAGTAGTAGTAGTGGTAATAGTAGTAGTAGTAGTAGTAATAGTAGTAGTAGTGGTAATAGTAGTAGTAGTAGTAATAGTAGTAGTAATAGTAGTAGTAGTGGTAATAGTAGTAGTAATAGTAGTAGTAGTGGAAATAGTAGTAGTAGTAGTAGTAATAGTAGTAGTAGTGGTAATAGTAGTAGTAGTAGTAATAGTAGTAGTAGTGGCAATAGTAGTAGTAGTGGTAGTAGTAGTAGTAATAGTAGTAGTAGTAGTAGTAATAGTAGTAGTAGTGGTAATAGTAGTAGTAGTGGTAGTAGTAGTAGTAGTAGTGGTAATAGTAGTGGTAGTAGTAGTAGTAGTAGTAATAGTAGTAGTAGTGGTAATAGTAGTAGTAGTGGCAGTAACAGTAGTAGTAGTAGTAGTGGTAATAGTAGTAGTAGTAGTAGTGGTAATAGTAGTAGTAGTAGTAGTAGTAGTAATAGTAGTAGTAGTGGTAATAGTAGTAGTAGTGGTGGTAGTAGTAGTAGTAGTGGTAACAGTAGTAGTAGTAGTAGTAGTAGTGGTAATAGTAGTAGTAGTAGTAGTGGTAACAGTAGTAGTAGTAGTAGTGGTAATAGTAGCAGTAGTAGTAGTAGTAGTAATAGTAGTAGTAGTGGTAATAGTAGTAGTAGTGGTGGTAGTAGTAGTAGTAGTAGTGGTAATAGTAGTAGAAGTAGTAGTAGTAGTAGTAGTAGTAGTGGTGGTAATAGTAGTAGTAGTAGTAGTAGTAGTAGTAATAGTAGTAGTAGTATTAATAGTAGTAGTAGTAGTAATAGTAGTAGTATTAATAGTAGTAGTAGTAGTAACAGTAGTAGCAGTATTAATAGTAATAGTAGTAGTAATAGTAGTAGCAGTATTAATAGTAGTAGTAGTAGTAATAGTAGTAGCAGTATTAATAGTAGTAGTAATAGTACTTAGCATATTTTAAATACTTATACGAATTCTTATTCCCTAAACTTATTTTTAAAGCTGAAAGCTCTTATCCATTCTAAATTCATTTTTAATGCTGGCTCTTGTTAAATTTAAGAGTCGAAGCATGGGCCAGGATGTTCAAAATGAACACCTCTGGTCCACAAAAGCAGGGACAAGAGGCGTTCAAAATGCGGTCCACGGACCGAATGCGAACCACTAGACATGGGACAGAAGCCTTCCTGAGATATATAGCAAATTTTTCCGACGAATTAGCTAGCACATACGAACAATTAGGTCAGTGTGGCCCAACTAATTACCTGTTATTACCGTTGGGTCGTTACCCGTCGTAATTACCAGAGGCTTAAAATCGATTCGCTTTCGTAATTAGCGATGAAGATGAGGAATTGAAATAATTACGAGACGAGGATAAAGGAAGGAACAACAGCAACAACAGTGAGGCGGCAGCACAAGCACTAAACAACAACAGTAACGTCCTGGGCGTGTATAAGAGAGACAAAAGCCGCAGCAACAGTACTGCTCCTGTTAAAATAAAAGGCTAAACAAGGCCTGCCATTTCAGTAATGCAGAGAGAAAAGACAGATTAAACCAGCATTTATTTAAGTTTGACCTGCGTCGCCATGCAAGGTTGTCCACACTGTCCAGGAGTTTAAGACAGGATGGCGACAGCTCATTTAAGAGAGTGCTGCTTACGGCAGAGGTAAACAGTCTTGTGCCCAGGGTAAAGTAAGGCTCGTAACTCTCACCAGCGTGAGGACACAGACACACGACGAGGAACGAGCTTTTATCAGGGCAATGTTTCGTGTAGAGCTTTATCAAGTCCTGATCTACTGAGGCTCTACACAGAGCGAGACGTTGTCAGAATAAAAGTTTGTTATGCGTTCACACCAGTGGTTCCCAAACTTTTCTAAGTTCCGCATCTCTAATAAATGTTAGATTAATGTTACACTCCCTACCAAAGTAATATCACATCTGAAGATGAAGCCAAATTTCTAATTTTTGTTTCACAAATTGAACCAAACACAGTACTGCGGGTGAACAAATTGAACACAAAAGATAAGCTTTGAAATGCCATCTCTTATCCCCTGGGGGTGCTGCACCCAGGGTGGGAATTCCTGGTTTAGGGAAATACGTCATAAAACCTTCACTCGGGTAAGTATCAGATGCGATTTAGGATAGTGGTGGCGGGGGGCGGTGGAGACGGGGAGCGGTGGAGTCAGAGAGCGGTGGAATCAGGGCGAGGGACGGCAGAATCAGGGCTCCTACACAATATAAACAACGCTGAGGAACGACGCATTATGCACCACCACGAACCCTATAATTTGATTTTTCTCTTCAGTGTTTACTCTCCTTTCTCTTGCTTCAGAAGTTAATCTTCGGTAATATTTCACCCGAACGAGATTAATCTCTTCGCTTTTCTCTTTCTCCACCTCCAGGTAATCAACGGGATCTTGATTATTAACGTGATGTTGATATTTAAACCATCACGACAGAGAGATGGATCACCTCAGAATTACATCTAAACTGTCTCCAGGGGTTTAAGAGTCTGTAATTGACAATATATATATATAATATATATAAATATATATATATAATATATATATATATATATATATATATATATATATATAATATATTATATATATATATATATATATATATATATATATGCTAAACAACCACTGTGAAAAAACAGTGGAGTTCCAAGAACTTTCGTGATTTCTTACATTATCATGTGAGAAATCACGAAACTACTCGGAAGTTCACTATTTTTATGTTTTTTCCAAGTTGTGATATCACCTGTTTACTGTGATCTTATTGCATCTCTCTCTCTCTCTCTCCTCTCTCTCTCTCTCTCTCTCCTCTCTCTCTCTCTCTCTCCTCTCTCTCTCTCTCCTCTCTCTCTCCTCTCTCCTCTCCTCTCTCT